AAGCCGCTGATTACATTCCTGTTCCACTTTCCGGTTCCTTCCACTGTATGGGGATTCAGAAACTAGTCGAAGTGTATGAGATGGCTTGCGGAGCTGTTTGCTCCTCGCTTCTGCTGGCTGCACTCCGTTCTGTGCTTAAGACTTCGGCGTATAACGGTTGCAACTCTGGTTCAAGGGGACATCAAATAGTCCTAGCCTCTCGATGTAGTCGGTTCTAAGAAGATTTAGGTTCGGTCGGTTCGTCAGGTAGCATGTTCCGGTCTTTTTCACCACGTTAAATGCGATTTTACAGGTGATTTCTCCAACATTCATTCATTCATTATACACATCAGCTGGAGGTGGGAAAACACCTCCGCTATTGTGCCGCAATACATGAAAGAAATACAGAACGAAGGAGCTCGTGAAGTTGCTGATAGAAATCATCTTTTACCGAATCAGTGCTACAGTTTGTAGAGACGTAGGCCGCAATGACAAACAGGCACCGTTTGTCCCCGTGCGACTTCGTAGCACGGAACGAACCAAGTAGTCTAACGGCGCACATCCGACTATTGACTGGGAGCCAGTCGATCAGGGCAGCTTCAGTCTGGGGACTCAGAACAATGCCGACGCCAGCTTAACCGACATTTGGAGCTGCATCATCGCCAGGCAGGCGCAATGAGAATGTGCCGCCAGTGTGGCATATGAAGGATAGCAGGGTAAGCACCGAGCTCGAATCTTGTAGGCGGGTTTCTGATAAACAGAAAATATCGATCGATAGGGTCTCTAGTGTGCGGGCAAGTGCTGCCTATTGGCCAAGCTGTAGGAAAGTGCGCACGTTGAGGCATACCAGTCTTAGCGAAACGCGAGGACTCCAAATGGAAACGGATGAACTGACATTGTCCGCTTGGTTGAACATGGACTTGTCGACTGCATTGGAGCGACGCCCTGCGACTGTGGGTGATATGAAACTAGAAGACAAGCGACTATTGAAACAAGCTGGGGGCGGGTCAATAATTGGGGGATGAAAGTAAAGTTGGAGCGGGACGTTAAGGATGAAGAAGCGCAAAAAGGGGGATAAGAAGACGGGAAGGCCTGAGCAGTAGCATCCATATCCTTATCCACCCTGCTCGATGCCGAAGATAGGGCGCCGTTTATTATCCTCTGCGACGGCCGGAGCATGAAGAAATTGCTTGATGACGACTCACCAATAATTTCGCTAAGTTGTGACACCGCTTCGGCAAAACTGACATCTTTCGGCTGTTTCGGCAGTATGTAATCAATGAATCTTGAGTGTTCATTTCTGCTTGGTTTACGGAGCAGCAGTCGCACTTTCCATGGGCCGTATTGAACATAGCCTCCCAGCGTCTGAACCACGCATTGAGTGCTTCCGGAATCAGGATTATAATTGTATTCAGTAATGGAATTGCAGAGGAGATAAACGGAACTTACCTGGGTGTCCCGCGATACTGTTTCTGAAGACTGCAAACTGAGTCGCTACCTCAAGGTTGCGATCAGCTTCATTTGCGCCTGCTGTTACCGTAGCAGAATTTGAAATTGGTCTGAAGAAAAATTCATTGCATTGCCATCTTTGTTCGTCGCCATTTGTTACGATCTAACTCTGTGTGCTATTCCCGTCGAACTGAATCCGTTCTCTGCTAGCTCCGAACTCCGCCAGCCGAGAATCAGAAGTCAACGCTTGGAAGCCAAAGCGTGTTGCGGAACCAGATGCTGAAACGGATACATTTAAAGCCGCACGACTTATAATTCAATGTGATTGCATTTTGAAGAAGACATCAGCGGCACGCCGGTAGGCAGTACCGACGCTTCGCCGTCGCGTAACCACCACCAGTGGCACGTGGACCAAGGATACTGCAAGGGTCGCCCGGTCCCGACGCGGTCTCAAACCTGTGCTCTCGGATTACAAGGCAGGGTTGTGATCCTTAAGGCATCGGGTCATGGTTGTACAAAGGTTGAGATATTGCCAAGGCGCCCAAACCTAGGCAGAACCTTTAGAGTCCTCAACCGGACTTTTGCTCACATGCCTGTCCGTAAAACGGTGGGTGGATTGGCAGCGATCCGGTTTTGCAGAAATGGACGTCATCGCGTTTCCAGCGCTCCAACTTGGAGGACCAGGTGACTGGGTTTGTCTGACTCCTAACCATCAACCAATCTACTAGTCATAGATTTCAAGGGGTCCTGGGGCACCACGCAGTGTATGTAGTTCAATGAGTTGTATAGGTACACCAACCCTCGCCACGTTAGGGTCTAGTCTGGTTGCAGGAATTGAAGCAACATTGATGAATATCGCCCACAGGAAGAAGAGCACTACAGCAGCGCATCGTACCGACACCCAGCATCCACTCGACCACCACCAGCCACTCGTGGGCCGGGTCTACAGCGGGGTCATCCAAACCTACGCGGAATCGAAGTGGGGATCTCCGATGTAATCCTTTCGGTCACCGGCGGACTACGTCGCTCACACCGAGGTAGTCCTTATCGTTTGGGAATGGTGTGTCACTAGCCTCACTGTCAACCTTGCTTGGCTCAACTATTGACCGTGGTCTCGATTAACAGTGGGCGCATATCAAAGATGCTTTAGTTTCCGCCAGTATCGACACTTGTGGAGTTACCCCTCACCCACTGAAACATTGGATTTCCGTCGACTCCTTGTCGCTGATGGACAAACGCCCCTTGATCACATCGGGTTCCAGACACAGTGAAGAACGCCAGTACCTTGGTCGAGAGTTGCGCAGGAGTCTGCAAATGGACCGCGAAGCTTGGTGGTGTGAACGTGCTAGGGAGATGGAGCTTGCTAGTCTCTGTGGTAATACCAGGAAACTTTTCCATCTCATTCGAGTCACCGAAGGTGTTCGATCTGGTATAAGTGAAACAATATGCGAAGTGGATGGCACCTTAATCACCAATCTTCAACGACGGTTGGAGCGATGGGCCGAACATTTTGGCTCACAGTTTTGTTGGCCCCCAGCTCCATCTGCTACCTCTGGCGCTCGTGCTGGGGCCGAGTGGTCTACCTCCACAGATCCTCCCTCTTCTCAGGAAATCGAGCAGGAGCTCCGGCACATGAAGCGTTATAAAGCCCCCGGCCCTGATGGTCTTCACCCAGCTCTATTTAAAGATGGTGGCGTATCGCTGGTCCGAGAACTCACCGCTTTGTTCTCGAAAATTTGGTCGAAAGTGAAAGTACCATCATCTTGGGGTGAATCGATAGTCGTCCCCATCTTCACAAAGAGCCTGCGCACAATCTGCTCCAACTACAGAGGAATAAGCTTAATCCTCGTCGTTTGCAAGCTGCTGGTGTCCATCATACTTCGCAGGCTATCCCCAACACGCGAATCGTTGCAGCGAGAAGAACAAGCTGGGTTTCGCCCTGGTCGCGGCTGCATCGATCAAATTTTCACACTTCGCCAGATCCTCGAGCTCCGCCATGTGTATCAGAGGCCAACGATTGCTGTGTTCCTGGATATCCATGCAGCCTTCGATTCTGTCGATCGTACAGTACTGCGGCACTATCTACTGAGGAATGATGTCCCCGAGAAGTTCGTCTCCATACTCCGCGCTCTATATAGTCTGACCTCGGGCAGAGTTAGGGCTTATGGCATGCTTTCGCTTACCTTTGTGGCCTCCAGTGGAGTTCGACCAGGATGCCCTATCTCTCCGTTCCTATTCAACTTTGCCATTGAGGATATCCTTAAGAACGCTCTGAGCGATTCGTTCAACGCTGGCGTTGAGCTCCTCCCAGGTAGTCGAGTTGATGATTTGGATTATGCTGATGATATCGTCTTGCTGGGTGATGATCCACAGGTTGTCCAACTTGCATTAAACCGCTTGGCGATTGAAGCATCAAAGTACGGTATGTACTTCTCGCCATCCAAATGCAAGGCTCTCCTTCAAGACTGACAGGTGCCTCTGCCTGCACTCACGCTTGCTGGTGAGACACTAGAGGTTGTGGAGAGCTTTGTCTACTTGGGAAGCTGCATCACTGCTGCCGGGGCTGTTGAAAACGAGATTTTGATGCGCATCTCGAGAGCAGGCCTCGCTTTTTCTAAACTGAGGCATTTGTGGCATCGCCACGACATTCGTCTCTCCATCAAAGGGCGGGTCTATTGTGCAACTGTTCGTGCTGTACTGTTGTACGGATGCGAGACCTGGCCCATTCGTAAAGATGACTTGCGCAGGCTATCCGTCTTCGAGCACCGCTGTCTGCGGTCCATTGCCCGTGTGTGGTGGCAGCACCACGTAAGCAATTTAGAAGTTAGACAGCGTGTCTTGGGGCGTGGAAGCCACTCGCTCGAGGAGCTCGTCTCACTGCATCAACTGCGGTGGTTGGGACACGTATTGCGCATGCCTGTCCGGCGTTACCCCCGTCGTGCGTTGTTTGCACTTGCTGGACAGTGCTGGAAGAGACGGTCTGGTGGACAGCCTGCAACATGGAGAAGCCGCATGAAAAAGTTGACGAAACAGTTGGCCTCAGCCTGTTGTTGTCGACTACCTGGTTGGGGGCCGAGAGATGAGGATACTTGCTGGTTGAAGATCTTGGAAGTTATGGCTCAAGATCGATGTCAATGGAAGACGCGTGCATCGGTTTGTTGCGGTGTCCCTTCTTCCTCCCTCTAAAAAAGAACAAACTGAAAAAAAATTTCAAAAACTGTGAGTGGTAAAATAGACAAACAAAGCATTGGTTGTTGCTCATTTCTTATTATTCATATTGTTTTCCTATTCAGCCATGATTCTGATGGCACAATATCTGTACCACAGATTGTATATATATATATATATATATATATATATATATATATATATATATATATATATATATATATATATATATATATATATATATATTAGCGTCGACGTACTGAAACGATTGAGCGTGCGTATCATTTCATAGTACGGATCTACGTTGGGAAATATTATCTGGTAATGATGAATGTACACTTGGTTCAGCGTTTCCGTTTAATATGTTATTTGAACTCACCACTACGAGATGTTTTATTTTCCAGTTTTGGGGATGACTGAGTTTAAACTCGGGGATAATGTGCACGCGTCTTTCGTTAGAGACCTGTGCTCCTACGATTTCCGTGTTCAAACGTTTGTCGGCTGGCCCTTCGGTGGAAACTTCAAGTGCACTGCGGAACGTCTGGCTATGACGGGTTTCTTTCATCCCCGGGATACTGCGCAGGACGTAGCGCAGTGTTTTGTATGCTTCAAGGAACTCGAAGGTTGGGAACCTGATGTGAGTGCTAACCTTGTTTCCGTATATTGTTCCGTCGAAAACATCAATTTGCATGCTGCTCAACTTAATACTTTCCCTTTCGGTAACCTTGGTTTTAATTATCGCCCTCCAACATACAGTACACATCTAGCTTCGTGGTCTCCTTGTTTACCCAGCCGGCCAGCAGCCGAAGAAATGGTGCATCTGTCTCGTAGCCCAAAGGTCACCGGTTCGAAACTGCGCAGTTACAGACTACTTCGCAGTATATCCAACCCCCGCGCGCGACAGATTGTGGTTGCATGACAGCGAGGCGTCGACATGAAGTGCCGGCGTACTGCTGGTGCGTTTTTTTATAGGATTCCATACCCGCTTACTGAACTCCCTCGTGGTGCTATCCGGGTGGTCTGAGTTTATCCCGTTCTAGCATGTTGTTCGGTAACAGTCTCTCAGGATGTGTTTTCGCCCGGCGAGCGTTCTCCTTATTAAGTGCTACAGATGTCCGTTTAACAATCTCGTGACACGGCGGATATTATTTGCCACTAGTTAAAGTCACTGCTTCTTGTTTCACCTCGGTGGGGCATCGCAGCCCAGACGACGGACGCTGGGTATACTGGGTCCCTGTTTCGCAACGCTCTAAGCCAAAGGCGTAGAAATTGAAAAATCAGTCATTGACTCTCATTGGGCTTCATTTCCTGACTTCGCTCCGCTGCCTTACGGGTAGGCTATTCGGCCTGAGTCGTCTTGATTGTTAGGTTGTACCACGATCTGATGGAGCCACAGATCGCTCTGTGTTGTGTTCCGTCTTTTTACCACAACTGTGCTTTGCTCTGATTCCCAAAACATTTGGTGGCTCTATGTTTATTGCTAGTTATATATCTTTCTCTCAAGTGATTGGCTGTTGCTTGATATCCCCGGTGAGGCTGCGCTTGATGTACATGTTGACAAGGTGCCTACCTGTCTATTACCCACTACCTCGTCCATACTGGCTCTAGGAGACAGTTGGTCGTTGCTGGACGGGACAGAGTGCACGGTCCTTGTGGCCGTGTTAGGATCAAATAGTGGTTCCATGCAGTCAGTGTGGAGCGGACTACGGTCTAGCCACCGCCTTGTGTGCGCTTGATTTCCCAAATACAGCGTGCTTGTGTTTGCCTGCGAAGGAGTGTGGGCCGGCTTCGTTGATGAAACGTGGCTCCCATCTACATGCGTCCCGGTCTTATTCCTTCGGGTTTACACTAGATATGGGGTGTGTGGTTGAAGCTGTGGATGGTGCAGCGCAAGCCACCCATGGTCCCTCTGTAGGCGCAGGCGTCCTCTGGCTTGTCAAGGTGACTGGCAAATCCGAAACCGGATGCCGCCAACCATGTATATGTAAATGTGCCGGAGCCGACGGGATCCCGCCTGAAGCATTGAAACACGGCGGACCCGCGTTGTTGACTGCGCTGCACCACTTGGTGCAACGCGTATCGATTGAGGAGGAGGTGCCTCCTGAGCTGAAGGATGTCCTTGTGCTACCACTATACAAGGGCAAAGGTAGCAAGCAATCTTGCACGAATTATCGTGGCATCAACTTGCTGAGTACGTCTGCACCACAAGAGGTACCATGGGTTGCTTGCGCTGCACCACCCACGGTTCCATCCACACACCCCACATCCAGTGTAAACCCGAAGGAATAAGACCGGGAGGCATGTGGATGGGAGCCACGTTTCATCAACGGAGCCGGCTCACACCTTCATAGGCAAACACAAGCGCGCTCTATTTGGGGGATCAAGCGTGCACAAGGCGGTGGCTGGACCATAATCTACTCCACGCTGGATGCAACCACTCTACGAGCTTAGCACGGCCACAGGGACTGTGTTTCCCCCCCCCCCCCCTCGCAGCAGCGATTTATAGTCTCCTAGAGCCAGTAATCTATGTTGAGGGTATTAGACAGGTAGGCACTTTATCAACATACACATCAAGCGCAGCCACACCGCGACGTTAAACAACAGCCAATCACATGAAATGACAATATCAAATAATAGTTATCGAATAAAGCATACTGACATACCGACGTAACTCTTCGCTAAATGAGCATATGAATGAAATTGATTTACAACATATCCGCGATAAGTTCGAGATGTCAGAAAATGATATTTTTAAGCAATGCTGTAAACGCGAACATGTTAACGATAATAACCACAATTTACTTAAGCGACGTGTGTAAGTAACAAGAAGCTTATTCAGGCAGATAATTAAATGTCTTAACTAAGTAGCAAACCAGTCATCTGAAGTAAAGAAACTCAGTACGCAAGCACGCGGTTAGTACATCGAATGCAGCTTAAGTACCAACGCTACGCTGATTCTGTCTACGTTCTCAGCAGCACCCTTCGCCGTTTCAATGTTGGTCTTGAGTGACCTCGCTCGTTACTCACTAGGTCTGCCTGACTCAGTCACTCGGGATCGCATGTGCTACAGCACCATGCGCTTGTAGTTGATGGAGTACACCCCATTGACGCTTCCGCAACTGCTGCTTCTTCTTCGCATACACGAGGGCTTTCTCTTGCACCTCGGCAACTGTCTTCGTGATCAGACCGCGCCATGCACGCCGAGCAACCGCCTTCGATTCCCAACACCTGTAATCAACATTGGAACGTGATAGACTCACTTTGCGCATGTCCTGGTAACGTAACTTCGGTTTTCCCACGTGCCAGTTTCCTGCACTCAGTTGGTCATAAAGCAGCTGTTTCCGTATCCGCGTCGAATCCACACGCCACACATGACCGAGCCACCTCAAATGTCTCAGCAAAAGTATGCACTCTACTGCAAACATTCCACTTCGGTTCAACGCTTCCGTGTCCGCAACCCTGTCACAGCAACCGATGATCAGAATCCGTCGCAGACACTGTTAATGAAACCGCTCTAGATATCTCGTATCTCGCCGGTATGTCATCCACATTTTGCTGCCATATCGAAGAACGGACAGCACCATAGGTTTGTACACCACCAGCTTCATGCCGACAGTAAGCTGGTGGTTGTTCCACACTCGGTATTCTAGCTTCCCGAATGCCGCCGCCGCCTTCGATACGCAGATACGTAGCTCATGGTGTATCTGCTGGTCGATCGAAACTATCCTGGTTAAGGTAAAAACATAAAGGAAGACCATTATTTTAGCAATTAATCGATTATCTCCAATCGTGCATTGATTTCGAAGATTCCGGGACGTTCCATTCCTTTACGTGATCACCAACTTACGGAGTTTTGGCAGGGAGGCTACTAATTTTACCAGTTGACCTTCGTTTTCTAGAAGTCGAAGGTCATTGAGCCCCCTGTATATTTGGGGTACGTCTGGCGTAGTGGTACAGCGTTTTGGCGGCATTTTTGGCTACGTTGGCAACGTTTTTGTTAACACGTTTTCCGTGGTCATGCTAGCTAGCAGCTAGCTAAAAGTTGTGGCAACTGCGCTACCGCCTCAAGGGCACCGCCAAAGACTGAACTCCGCTCATGGCCTAAACCAACTAAACCTTGGAGTCGTGTTCATGTAGACTTTGCAGGCCCAATCGATGGCCAGAACTTTCTCATAGTGGTCGACGCTTATAGCAAGTGGTCCGAAGTGTTCCTCATGAGAAGCACGAAAACCAGCGCAACCGTCTCTAGGTTGCGACAAATCTTCAGCAGGTTCGGCTGCCCTGAAACATTGGTGACGGACAATGGAGCACAGTTTACTTCGGCCACATTCATGGAATTCTGCCAACGCTGCGCCATCAAACACTTGCGGTCTCCACCATTCCACCCACAATCGAATGGCCAAGCAGAGAGGTTTGTGGATACATTCAAACGCGCTCTCCTCAAATCAAGGAGGGAGGGAGACCTAGAGTAGGTGATCGACCGCTTCCTATTTCTGTACCGATCTACACAAAATCCACAAACGCCGGGTGGAATATCACCAGCAGAGGCAATGATGAAGAGAAAACTTCGCATGCCATATGATGCAGTTCGGCCATCCTCAGAGTCCATAGCTGGTGAAAGGAACCTAAAGATGGAACGTGATTTTAATCGGCGGTTTGGTGCCAAGCAACGTTCGTTTACACCGGGTCAGCCAGTATTTGTGCGTGATTATCGGGGTGGACACGCAAAATGGACTCCAGGAACGATCCAGTGCAAGCGCGGAAGCGCCATTTACGACGTGCTGGTTGGAACGCAGGTATGGGTACACCATGCAAACCAACTGCGAACAACAATGTGCCAGCCACAAGCAATAGAATCCGCCAAGCTTCCATTTGACCTGTTGACAGACAGCTTCAACTTGCCTACAGAGCCAGTAGAAGAACCCTGTCATCAGACGAATAATACCAGACCGCAGAGTACGGAATTTGAATCCAGAACACTACAGCCAAGGCGATGCACCGGTAGGCGAAGAATCCCTTCCAGAAGGCTCCAGGTTAATCCCCGGCTAGCTTCATACACAACGGCAACAGCTTCAGGAGGGGAGGTATCCGGGAATCAGATAAAAACATAAAAGAAAAAAGGGAAAGTATATAATGGTGACTGAAAGCTGGGCTAAAGAGAATCGCCTACCCCGTGCGGTCGATCAGGCAATCGATCGAGCGGACGAATGCGTTTTCAAACACCCGGCTGATTGGACTTTTGCCTCAGAGTTGAGAGGACAGTGTTTTTCGGCGGCATTTATCTGGCTACGTTGGCAGAGGTTTTGTTAACACGTTTTTCGTGGTCAAGGCTGTTGGAATTTTGATTTTTCTTCGGCTGGGCTAGAATTTTTGCGGAGAAATTTTTGGATGTTTAATTCGAAATAACGAGAAAACGTGAAGATATAACATATTCGATGGACAAGCACGAAAATGTTACAAACTTTTCCGCCGAACAGTTTCAAAAGCTGCTCCTTCAGCAACAATCACAGATGGCAGCACAAATGAAACTGATTGAATGTTTGACGCAGTGTTTGAACGTACAGTCAAACGGAGCAGCTACACGGGACACGCAGGCTGTTCCACTCGATCTTCTTACGAATGCAATCAATGAATTTA